TTTGTTTCTTTGTTTTTTTTTTCACTTTTAGAAAGTTCTTAGCTATTATCCTTCCAATTTATTCTTCTACCTTCAGGAAGAAGTCTCCTTCAGGACTCCAGCTACACAGACCATTTTCATTACGTCTTATATGTCTCTTACTATCCTTCCTTTTTTATCTTTTGTCTCTGTGCTTCATTCTAGGAAATTTCTTCTTATCTATATTTTAGTTCACTTACTTGTTCTTTAGCCATTTTTAATTTGCTCCTTGACTAATCTGAGTGCTTAATTGCCATTACTGTGCTTTTCAACTCTGGATTTTCCACTTGCTTTGGTCTCTCTCTCTCTCTCTCTCTCTCTCTCTCTCTCTCTCTCTCTCTTTCTCTTTCTCTTTCTCTTTCTGGGTGGGGGATAGTTTGTTTCTATACAAAATCCTCAGTTTTGCCTCTACCATCTTCAATATAGTAAGCACAGCTATTTTCATGTTTATAATATGCTGTCTAGACTTCTATGCGTTTCTGTTTTGTTGTTGTTTTTAATGTATGTTGTGTTTTTTCCTAACATGTCTGGATCTTGTTTTTTGTTGTTCCAAATTTTATATTTTTAAATTATTCATAGAAGTAATGAAGCCCAAGTTTATGTCACTTTTTGCTCATGAAAGATTAACATTTGTTATTTATGAACATTTGTATTACAAACAGGCATTTCCAATTTCAAGGTCAGAGGTGATTCAGAGTTGAACTGTGGGACCTGTAAGTCATTGCCTGCTTCTGACTGGCATCAGTTTCTCCTTTTCAGCCATTTATTCTCTTTCCTGCCAGAACCATTAGTCAGAGCCCCATCCACTGTTTCCGAGGTTAGCAAATTCCCCTAGGCAAAAGCAAGTCTCAACCCTGAGTGCTCCTTCATGCTATTCTTACTTTCTTGGATTCCAGCCTAGAAGTTCTCCACTGTCTTGTTAATTCACCAATGTCTTAAGGCAAATGTTTTTATATTTTGTTAACCTATTCTAGTAATACCCAGCATGAGTATTTGAATTGTATAATCTTTCATTATTCAAAGTGGAAGACCTAACCATTGTTTCATTAATTAAATAATTAGGTCCAACAAGACTTTACATAGCTAGCTAATAGCAGAGACAATCCAGGTATCCTGATTCTATACACATAATCTGTTACACCAGCACTCAAACAGGCAGATGGATCTATTAGCATTTTGGCATTTATTATGCTCAGTGCCACCTTTCTTGGTTGATTGAACATGCACTAAACACCCATTATTCTAGGAAACTCACAGAAAATCCTCAAGCAAGCAATGTCTTCTCCTTACTTCCCTATCTAGTTGAGGTTGATTTATTATAACCCCTTGTAAAAAGGGAGCTATATGTGAATGCTCCAGTTGAAAACCATTATAGGTTTAGTAAAATCCAATTGCCTTCACTTTGTTTGGTTTGGAGAGTGAGTGTGGGTGTGTTTGAGGTACTCGGGATTGAACCTAGGACCTGATGCATTCTAGACAGTAGTCTCCTATCTTTTTAGTATGAGAGACCAGTCTCATGGAAGACAGTTTTTCTAAGGATGGAGAGGAAGGGATTAGGTTTTTTGGTGGGTTTTTTTTTAAATGTTTGCCATACATAACTACGTTCTCCAGTGCTAGCATCACCACTGCAGCTCTGCTCAGATAAGGCATTAGATTTTCATAAGGAGTACACAACCTCGATCCTTGGCATGTACAGTTTGTGGTACAGTTCATGCTCCTGTAAGAATCTAAAGCCACCATTTATCAGACAAGTAGCTGAGCTCGGGAAATAATGCAAGCAATGGAGAATGGCTTGGAACGCAGATGAAACTTTGCTCTTGCCTGTTGTGCAGTCCAGTTCCTGACAGGCTGTGGACCTGTACCAGTTTGTGGCCTGAGAGTTGAGAACCCCTGTTAGACAAGCACTCTACCACTGAGTTACACAGTATCTTACCCTCTCCCCTTTTTATATTTTTTCTTTTAATTTCTCTTTGATACAGGGTCTTGATGAGTTGCCCAGGCTGGCCCCAAACCTGGGATCCTCTTGCCTTAGCTTCCCAAATAGCCGGGATTAGAGGCAACTGGAATCTTTTTTTGGTGCCAGGAATTGAAATCAGGGTCTCATGCTTGCCAGGCAATCACTGTGCTTCTGAACTACACCCCTGGCCCCATCATATTTTTAAAGTAGAATTATACTTCTGCATTATAATAATACTGTTTTTTATGCATTATAATAATATAGATCCTCCACTTAAATATACAGAAATTGGAAGTCTAAGCTAAGGGTTGGTGTTCTACAATAGGAAAAGATCATTCTTTCTTTGTCCATTGATGTATAATATTAAAATGGAGTACCTGATGCAACAGCAATTTATTATTCCCTATTCTTCATTGAGTTTGCTGGGCTTTGTTTTGTTGGACTCACCGACCAGGCCAGTCAGCTGGGGCTGAATGATCTAACATGTCTCACCTAAAGGGCCTGGCTGGATGACCAGACATCCTTCTTCATGTCATGTTTAGTCCTAGCTTTCTTTACATGCTCAAAGAAGTAGTTTATAAGAGGAAAATTAGACTTTCAAGGGCAGGTGTCCAGAAGGGTCACTTCTGCCTTACTGTCTTTGTAAAACAAGTCACAAGGCCAGCCCATGCTCACCAGTGGTGTAGAACCTCCATCTCCTATGGAGAAATAAGGTAGATATTTTGATCATCATTTTCATTCTCTATACAGGATGAGATTATTTTTAAAAGACAGGTGTGAGAGGCAGAAGAGAAGCTCCTGCATTACAACACTAGCAAGGTGTCCAACAGTTCAGCTCCCTCTGATACTACCCAGAGTTAGTGTCAGATCCAACAAGTTAAAGTCCCCAGAAAGATTGCCCTGGACTTCAGATGGCTGTATGTGGGCACAAATTTGAGGGTTGGAATGACTCCTCTTCAGGTATGATAATTTGATAAAATGATTCACAGAACCGAGGAAAATGCTAGTTATGGTAACAGCTTTTTTCTAAAAGATGCAAATAAAGTGCCAGGTGTAGTGATACATAGGTTGACAAGATTTGGAAGCAATGTGCCTGGTGGCTTTTGTCTCCAGGGAGTCAGGCTGTGTACCTCATCTGTGTATTTATTGCTTACCAACCAGGGAGCTCCTACAAGCCTCAATGTCCTGAGTTTTTATTAGGGTTTCATTACATAGGCATGACTGATTAAATCATTGGCCATATGGTTGAACTAAGTGTCCATGTATTTTATTAGTATTATACTTAATACTTTATTATTTATTATGCAAAAGCTCTCCCAGGATGCCCATATCCTAACTCCCAGAACCTATAAACTTATTATGTTATACAATACAGTAGAATTAAGATTGCAAATGGAGTTAAGGCTGCTAATCAGCAGACCTTAAAATAAGGGATTATCCTGGGTTATTCAGGTGGGTCCAGTTTAATCACAGGAGTCCTTGTGAGGAACAGAAAGGCAGTAGTATCAGAACCAGACAGATGGAATTATGAGAGACCCAACCGAACATTGCTGGCTTTAAAGATCAGAGGGAGTTCTGAGCCCAAGTGGGTGCACAGTCCTGTGGAAGAAAGCAAATTGTGCCTTAGATCTTTCTGAAAGTTACAATTTAGGGCTGGCCAGATAGCTCAGTAGACTAAGGGCCTATTAGGCAAGCTCAGGGACCAGGGTTCGATCCACAGTACCACATGTGTGCTGGCCCCACCCCTGGGCATGCTGAGCCAGCCAGGCATGGTGGCACATTCTTGTAATCCCAGCACTGGGGAGGCTGAAAACAGAAGAATCACTGAGTCTGAGCTGCATAGTGAGACCCTGTACCAAATATACTGAAAATCACAACTTTACTGATACCTTGATTTTATCCCATTAACTTTCAGACTTATTTCCTCTAGATTTGTAAGATAATGAAATTGTGTTGTTCTAAGTTGCTAAATTTGTGATAATCTGCACGGCAACAATAGGAAGCTAATACAATTGGGCTTATATAAAAAAGAGAATGACATTACTTTTTGCCATATAAGGAACATGATTCATATACAATTGCACCTTCTTTTTTAGATGTAGGAGACTGTTATTCTGTTCAAAATGTAAATCAATTCACATTCTTCAAATCTCTCCCACTTCTTAAATTATTTGCTACCCTTTGCCACCTCAAGCCCTCTGTGGAGCACCAAACTGCCTAATTTAACTACCCAGGATTCTATGTCTTAATTAGAGTGCTTCTGTGCATCTGATGCATAACAGATTCAGAGAGGAGAGAGAAACTCTATGTAGTAATAAGTAGGATATATTTGACCTCATGGATTCATCCAGTGATAATTTATTCATTATCCTCAGTGTACCAGGATCTATGCCAACCATGGTTTTATATTTAACATGATTTATGATCTGATGCATGGTACAAAACTTAATTGGCACAGAAAGAATTTCCAGCTGGGCTCTTTCATGGAATACTGACACCTACAGGTGGTTTTTATAATTTCTTGACCTGCCTTAATCTTGAGAGTCTCATTTTGCAATGATGATGACAGTGATGAGGATGACAGTAATAATTTCTAATACGTAAGGAGCAGTTTGTATGTACCAGAGCTGACCTAAATATTTTGCATTGTTCATCATATTTGATTTTTATTTGCCACAGTTACTGCTTTTTCTTTTGAATTATTCCCTTGATGACTTTAATCCTGTCTCCTTAAATGCCCAAAAACTTGATGTTCACATGTCTCAATTCTTTACTTCCTAGTTTTATCCCTTCTGGTATTTTTGATGACTTCTAAATTATAGTAAAATAAAAACATAGCTGAGTATATGGGAACTTCTGACCTTGAATTGAAAGAGAAAAAATAACTGTTTATTCACAAGTATATGCCTGAGAAATCAGAGGCACTGAGCTTCATTTGGTACAATTAACACTAATTGCATGTTAGTGTCCCTAGTCAGGGAATTTTCTCCAGTGAAACTTATCATTTACTGATTTGTTTCTTTAGGAACCATATTATGTACGTTGCATCAAACCCAATGACAAAAAGTCCCCACAGATATTTGATGAAGAACGCTGTCGGCATCAAGTAGAATACCTTGGGCTCCTGGAAAATGTCAGAGTCCGTCGGGCAGGTTTTGCCTTCCGTCAGACCTATGAAAAGTTTCTTCACAGGTGAGAGTAGACCCAGCAAAGATGCCTAATGGCACATGGAAAATGGAGAGTTATGGGGTCCTGCCCACGTATGACAGTGCATCAGCACCTGTTAGGCCATCTGTGAATATTTGCTGAGTGAACAGAAGAGTTGAAACTGCAAGTATGTGATACTTTCTCAGAGTCAGTAGGAGTCCCTAGTGGCTGTTTAACCATGTGGGCAGAATGTGGGCCTTATAGCACAATCAAACATGGTTTTAGAGTCCAGGTTGGAATCTCAGCTGTGCCACTTACTTGCTCAATGATGTTAGTCCAGAAGTTCAGTTTCTTTGATCCTGTTTCTACATCTATAAAATGAGTATAATAATACTTCATAGACCTGTTACTGTGGTGATTAAATTAGACTAAATAAAAAGCCTAGATTCCTGGCATATAACAGATATAGCACTTGATTAATGCTGCATGTTACTGGTATTGGTAATTATCATAAAAATAGAATATGATGAAGTTAAGCATGGAGACTCTGATGTTAGTCCTCCTGGTTTGAATCCTGGCTTGGCCATTTTTAGTCACATGACCTTGGTCAAGTCCCATAACTTTTCTATGCCTTGTAGTAACTACATTGAAGGGTTTCTACAGGATTAAGTGAGATATTTGTAGATACCTGACATATGGTAGTCAATTAATAAGAAATTTATTGCTGTTGTTAGTTTATAATTAATAATGGCAATGATAGTTGGCAACTGAGAATTAGAATGTTTTAAATTCTTTTTATAATTTTTTTATTAAAGCACCTGCAAGCAGGCACAGGGCCCTGGGTTTGATCCCCCGGCCTGCCGTGCCAGCCCCACCCCCCAGGCATGCTGAGACAGCAATTGGGACTGGGTGTGGTGGTACATGCCTGTAATCCCAGCTCTTGGGAGGCTGTAAACAGGCAGATCATTACGAGTCCGATCTAGTAGTGAGACCCTAAACACCTTATAGACCTTTCCCTAAAATTAAAAAAAAAAAAATTATTACTATGTAATTGCTGTACATAGTATTCACACTCATTGTAGGGACTTTGTACCTGTATATAATATCTCTTAATTCTTCTTTCCCCCCCCATGTCTCTCCCCTTCCTTCAACCTACCTTTCCCTCCTAATTTAAAGAAGTTAAACTGTTTATTTTTAAATATTTATGGACAATTTTCTATATTCTGAACCACAGTTTATCAAATACAATGAATAAACACATAAAATAAAGATGAGAAAAGTACAGAGAATTCTGATAGTTAGGTGGTTGTTCAGAAGACTTTGAGGAGATAACAATTATGGGGGAGCCAGACATAGAGAGGTCAGTGAAGTCAGAAGGTAGAGGAAAGCTGGGCACAGTGACATGCAGGAGGCTGAGGCAAGGAGATTTCTGTGAGTTCAGAGCCAGCCTAAGCTATAGTGAATTCCAGACCTACCTGAACCAGCTAGACTCTATTTCCAAAAAACAAGATGGAACAGAGGGAACAGTCATGGAAAAGGCTGCCCTGCAGTGATGAGTATGGCATTTTGTGCACCTAATGTAGTCCCGATGGTTGGAGGACGCTGAATGAGAGGTGTGGGGTAAGAAAAGAGCAGATGTAGATGGGGACCACATTGTGTTGAACTTTGCGATCAGCCCGAGCCATTCAGGTTTTGGCTAAGTATGATTTAAAAGCCACTGATAGATTTTAACCATGGAGTGGCAGCCTTGCGGATTATCTTGAAGGAATCACTGTGCCTACTGTGTGAGTTAAAAACAGGGAAACACTTAGGGACACTCTTATTAGAATCCAGGAGAGGTAGCTTTAGAATAATATTTTCAGGGGCTGGGGAGATGGCTCAGTGGAATAAGCGCTTCCCTGGCAAGCACAAGGGCCTGAGTTCAATCCCTGGTTCCGCAAAAAAAAAAATAATAATAATATTTTCAACAAGGGATTATTGTAGACTAAAAGGTAGTGAACAAAGTCAGAACACAGGGTGGGGGTAAAGTTACTCATAGGTGCATTGGCTATGAAGAGAGAAGTGACAAGTAGACTTGGGTTTAGCACCTGGGATGAGCATGATACCCTTTGCTGACATGAAATCACATAAGAGAAGTTTGGAGAGGAATAGGAGCAAGGATAGAATCATGTTCTCTTGACTGTATTACCTTTGAGATGCTTACTAAACATCTAAGTGAAAATATTAAGGGAACTATTGATATGTGTTCTAGAATTTGAGAAAGAAGTCAGGCTGCAGACAGATTTTGGAATCACTGGTAGGTAGATAATACATAAAGCTTTAGGACTGAATAAAAAAGAGGCCAAGGCTGGGGCGATAGCTCAGCAGCATAAGCACCTGCCTGACAAGGACAAGGTCCTGAATTCAATTCCTGGTGCTGCATGTGGTGCTGGGCCCAAAACTGGGCGTGTTGGCGCATGCCTGTAATCCCAGCACTAGGGAGGCTGAGACAGGAGGATTGCTAGGAGTCCAAACTGCATAGCGAGACCCTGTATCCAAAGAATAAAAATAAAATACAAAAAAAAAAAAAGAGGAGGCCCCTGACAGTATGTAGGTTTTGTGGTTGGTCTGATGGAAAGAAACTAGCAAAGAGAAGAGAAGGGCAGCTGGTGAGGTAGAAGGAAACCAAAAGAGGATTATGTCTCAGAAGCCAAGAGAAGAGGGCGTTTTGAGAGGAAACATGTTGTCGACAAGTCAAGTGTTGCTGTGCAACTAAGAAAAGCAGAAGCCTAAGCATTAGCTTTGGCATCATAGAGGTCAAAAGGGAAAACAGCAGAGCCCAATTTGAACAGGATGGGAAGGAGAAATGAGAAATGATATCCCTACAATAGCAACAGAAGTGCTGCTATGCCTATGCAGAAAAACTGGAACGCATCACTGGACAAGGATGTGAGATCAGGAGATACTAGAAAATGGATGCAAGTGAGGATGATTCACGAAAGAGGGAGGAAACCCATGACCCAGGAGAGAAGGGAGGTGCAGTAATTACAGTGATAGCATCCTGGAGATAGCAAGAAGGAGTGGAATCACAAACACACAGGAGCAGGGACATTGCCCATAGCAACAGGACACTAGGCAGAGAACACAAATACAGATCAGGAAGATCAGCAGCTTCACTGGAAGCAAAGATGAAAATGTTCTTGTCTTATTTCTTCTCTGTTCTTAATGACGTGTGAGGCGAAGTCATGAGCTGAGAGTGAGCAAGTGGTAGGAGATGTGGTGAAGAAGGTTTGGAGGAAAATGAGAAGACTCATTTTAGTGACTGGAAAAGCTTGGGTTTGTTTAAAACAACTGTGGTCAGGGAGAACTGAGTGTCCATTTGAGATGTGAGTTTAGAAAAATAAGATGAGACCACCTAGTATTGTAAGATTTCTCCACTAGTATTCAGTGACTTGTGTGTAGAAGTAGCAATTTATGCTGAATGGGTATTCTTAAATAGAATGGATAAAACTCCACAGCATAATATCCTGGAAAATTGAAATTTAATTTTATATTAATTTAAAGGTTATGTTCAAAACTGACCATTTTTCCTGTTGAAGCCACACTGTTGTTTATCTTTTTACATTGAGACTATATAGCAAGAAATATTTCATGAGTAATGATATATTCATCTAAGTCTTAATTGCAAACTGTCAAGTTATATTATTAGACAGGTTACTAGTCTACTTTGTGCTTGGAAAATTCTGCAAGTGATCAGAATAGGATTTGTTTTTGTGTTGTCGCTTATAGAAAATAAGCAGAAGATGAATGTTAGAATGAACACTGTGCAGTGTAAATATAAGATGGGGTTGAACTGAAAAATGTATTTCCATGAGATGCAGAAGAAGCCATGCAAGCAGTTGAAACAAGTGAATTGTGAGAAAACTAGATTTAGAGGGGACAAAGAATTTGCAGATTGTATCTTTACCTACTTTTAATCGCTTTTTGGACTTACTTTAAACTTGAAAAGTGTTGGTGTTTATTTTGAACATAAAAAATATCCTGTAGGAGCCGGGGAGATGGCTCAATGGAGTAAGCGCTTCCCTAGCAAGCGCAAGGGACTGGGTTCAATCCCTGGTTCCTTAAAAAAAAACAAAAACCTGTAAATAAGATTAGAAAAATATTTTTAATACTCATGTAAAAATAGAACAGAAACATGAAGTACCTATGAATTTCAAATCCAGTGGTTTTTGTAGTACAAGTTTAACTGGCCCATTTGCACTCTACAACATCTCCAAATGATTCAAAATATGTATATTTAAAACTAAGTGAATGCATAGCCAAGCTGTGGAATCAGGAAGAGAGATTCTCAGTGAACTTTAAAGATTCGAGTTACTCTTTTTTGGGGGTGGTGGGTGTTACCAGAAATTGAACTCAAGACCTCACACTTGCCAGGCAGGTGCTGCATCACTGAACTAAACCCCCCAGCCCACGAGTTACTCTTAAATATAGTACGAAGTAGACATAAAGACCTAGGTGCAGCCAGTGTCACAGGTGTAAGTGAAGCCTGGACTGTGAGAACTGAGCTGCCCTCTAGGACCAGCCCAACAGGTTTTATCATAACCTGAAGCAGCAGGAAGTTGCCACAGTGGCAGGACAAGTGACCACAGCCACAAGGGAGGTAAAGCCCATCAAACAGGATTACCAAAAGGAAGACAGAATAGAGGGAAAGCACTGTTCAAACCATGGCCAAGAATTTGCCTAAACTGAAAAACATAAATTTCATTATTAACATCTGACCAATTAGAGAAAGGAGTAGTATCTTCATACTGGAGAAAATGAAGTTCATATTTAGAATTATATTGCATTCCAAAATGCCGTTCAAGGTGTAAAATTTAAAAAAGCATTTTATGACACATCCAGAAGTTTAGTATTCATAGAAGCCCTCTGAAGAAAATCTTCCAGAGGTTATATTTCAGCAAAAGAAAGATGAAAAAAGAAGGAAAACATGAGATGCAGAAACCATACAGGAAAAATAAATCAGAAAAAAAAAGTTTAAATCTAAAAAAAGTATTGTTTGTAAGGAG